CCATCTAGCACCATTTCTGGTATTTCAATAACTGTATGTGCAAGTTCCATGGGTGTGTCCATTACGTTTGCTGATGCTGCTTTCCATTCTTCCACCAGATCCGGTAGTTTGATTTTTGTAGCTGCTGTTTCAATTGTTGGTTCCGTATAATCCATTGTTGGTTACGTATAATCCATCGTTGGTTCCGTATAATCCATCGTTGGTTCCGTATAATCCATCGTTGGTTCCGTATAATCCATCATTGGTTCCGTATAATTGATTGTTGGTTCCATTGGGACAAACAGCTGCGGAGTTTTGCATTCAACAGGCAATTGTACCTCCAGAAGTTGTTGTTTGAGTGAATCAAGCTGTTTGGCCAAGTCAGATATTGATGGTGTGACTTCTGGTGAGTGGTGGACAGGAGCTTCCAAGGTACGTAGATAGTTGCAATAGTCTTCTTCCAATTTGATCTCCCTTTCAGCAGCCTCAGTTACATGTTTAAAAAGTGGAGGTGATCGGGATCCATCGGGAGCTTGGGGAAGTTGGCCATTGTTGATTAAAGTCTGTTTGATATTTATCTTGACCTGTTGAGGAAAGGCACTGATGAAAAGGAGTGAGACATCCTGTTCACTATCAAAATCTTCATTTTCGACCAGATAATCAAGAATTTCTGAAAAATTTTGAAGGTAAATCTGAAATTCTTTGTAGCTTAATATTTCATCATCCCTAGAAAATTCTTTTACCAGGTTGACTAGATTGGTGGTTGTGTATGAAGTTATATTGTCAAATTCCCCCCAACTTTCAATCAATGAGACTTTCAGAGTATCCCAGTCGCATTCCTCGTATCCATCCATGGCCTCGATTTGGCACTTCAGTTCTTCAGTTCGCACAAATCGTCCAATCTGTAGAGCTCGATCGTATTTGGTTGCATTAAGTACATCTGCCGTCCTTTCGTATTGTCTCAAGAACTGCATGAATTGGTATCCGTCGTAAAAAAGTCCCGGTTGCTCAATGAGAATTGGTTTGTGTTGGTTTGTTGATTGTTGATAAGTTGGTTTTTGTTGTTTTGGTTGTTGATAAATTGGTTCTTGTTGTTTTGGTTGTTGAAAAATTGGTTCATCCGTATCTTGAGTCTTGAAGATTCCAGTTCTGAATATAGGTGGCACTGTTAAATTCAGATTTCCTGGTTTCTTGTTCTTCATCCAAGGTGGTGATGGTTTTGTTGATGACATCGTAGTTTCCGCATTCCGGTTTAAATTTGAAGTTGGTGTAAAAGGTCGTTTCCTAAAATTGGTCCGTGGAGCAAATAATTCTTCCATATCTGATACACCAAACAATATATTCATGTCAATTGTTGTTGATTATTCCAGATTTTCTAGATATAGCATTCCTTTGAAACTTTCCTATTTGGTCTTCTGAAAAGCAAAACAATTATGGTCGCTGGTGTCTTCACCAGGGCAAGTTGGGGGGGTTTATATATATAAAATACTTAACAATAACTGGGAATTTATTCTTCTAACAGGATCTACTTATCCAAATCCTTCAGGTCTCTATTACCTTTCTTCTGGGATATAAGCAGCTGCTTCCTTCAAATAGTTCCGGAGATCTCTTCTAACAGGATCCTAGTTATCCAAATCCTTCAGGTCTCTTTGCCCTTCTTAAGGTATATAACTGGCTGTTTCCTTCGAGGTACTCTTTTCAGGTC